AATTATAAAATAATATATAAAACTTTAGCTAATGAATATATAATTATTAAAATGCATTATAAAATTAAATATATAAACTTGAATGAAGACTAGAAGGAAATATATGAACATTTTAACGACAGCCATTAATTTTAATTTTCTCTTTTACTTTTTAGAATTCTGATTGTCTAGAAAGAATGAAAATTATTTTTGAATTGATACTATAATAAATATCATTTATTACAAGAGTCCATTTCATCAAAACAAAATAATTCCCAAATTGTAAGTTATCCCTTTTGTATACTGTACAATTATTTGAGAAAAGGAAAGACTAATCAGAAATTACATTAAAACAATTTTTTTAATGTTTTGAGGTAGAAGAGATGACAAAGATTGCACATGTTATCATTTGCCCAAAGAGACAGTAAGAGCCAAATCTTCTTAACTGAGAGAAGCAAAGCCTAATATTGTGCGTCAAGTGAGGGAGCACAAATAGAAATGCTCTCATGCAAGATTATAGCTGAAGAACCCCCAAACCTATGTTCAATTCTATTGGGTCCATAGGAAAAGTTAATCATGCATCTGCCAATAGCCTTCCCCACACTGTTAAACTCCATTACTATGCAAACTATGACTCAAATCAGGCAATATAACAAAACATAAGAATTAGGTGAGAAAACTGAAAAGCAAAAATATAAAACCAACTGAAACCTATAGAATTTTTCTAACCAATTCACCCTAATAAATGTAATTAAAAATATAAAGTCAATACATATAAAGAAAAAATTAAATAGAAAAAAACAGTATGTGTGTGGGGGATGGGATTAGAGAAATCCCTGCAGGTGGAGTACGCTGAACTGGCACGCTTCCGTAGAGCAGTGGACAGGAGCTGGCGGGGTGGGGTGAGGATGACACGTGCAGGCATAGCTACAAACCGTGAAACTAAAATAAATAATTTTTGTGTAACTCTGTTAATGACTCTAATACCATTCATGTTCAACATAGTAAAAAGGAAAGGAAAGAAGCCAGGCAGAAAGATGTGGTTTGGAAGTGGGACTGCTTCTGTGGCTGATGACGATGAACCAGCACAGAGAAAACTCTGCCAACCTGTGTGTGGAAACAATCGCTCCCTTACTAATCCCTCTCCATCCTGTGCACCTTACTGAGCACGCCCATGCCTGGGGCCCCGTGCAATGAGCCACACAAAGCCAGCCCCTGTCCAGGGAACACACAGATCCTTGAGGAAGGTGTCATAAAACCTTTGAATCATTTACTACCACCACGAATAATACTATTATTTTAACAACAACAAAAAAATAATGGTAGCTAACATTTGTTGAGTACTTACTATGTACTAGACACGTTATTAAACCCTTTACACAAATTAACTCATTTATCCTCACATCAACCCTGTTTTACGCTACTGCACGGGAATGTGGGGGTGGGCAGTGGAGCTGGGGTGGGGAGAGGTGCACAGTGGTAAGTGATGAGTGATGCCTTGGAAATGCCTGGAGAAATCAGGGGACAGCAGGATAGCAGGCGTGAGGAAAGGAGAGAAAGCCAGAGGCGTCCAGGGTCAGGCCACTGGGTCAACGACAGTGCCTCTCACAGCCTCCCGAGATCAGATGCCTGGTCTGACTGTCCTGCAGGCTTCTGCCCAACCCAAAGCCAAAAGCGCCCTCAGTATATTTCCAACTTCTTTCATACCTTAAAGCACATCCCCTGGATTGATAAGCCACAGTGACTGGGCAGCAGCCTCATATCTCACGTCAGACCCACCTAAGCTTGCTTTCTGGTTCTCTTTCTTAACAGTGGTCTGACCTTGGGAAACATATTTACCCTACTGAGCCTGCGCTTTCTTACATGTCAAACTGCCTAGCACCTATCTTACAGGTTGCTGCAATGTTGTTGGCAACGCACACAAAGCACCTAACATGTGTATCTATACAGTGATCATATCATTGAGAAAACTAACTTTCACAAGTTTATATTTGATAGCAAGGCACTAAATCCAACACTTTCTGATAAGGACACAAAACAGGAGTAACTACTAATATTCAATTTCCGTTTGGAAGACAAGTCTGTGTGGGAGTGTACATGCCAGTCGGGTGACTGGCCTTGGTAAGGACCAAGGTGGCCTCCAGAGCTGGTCCAGCACAAGGAAACCAGTGCAGAGGGAGAGAAGAATTCTACAGTGACTGTAACACTGTAAAATGGACACTGCACATTTTTTAGCCTGGTTTGTAAGAATCGACTTCAACAGAACTAAAATAGAAATAATTTTACGTGGTATCCTTAGGAAATACACTCACATACATAAACCATTACACTTAAAACCATCACCCACCTCCACAGTCAAAAAACATAGTAAACCTAATTACTTACACATTTCACATATTCCAAGGCACATACATATAACACATGTGTGCACACACCCACCCGATGTTTTGAATATTTTATAGGCGCTACAATCAGATTCTGTGAACAGTGATGGGATGTTTGGGTGCTGGGAACTGTCACATTCAAGACTTTATTTGAGCCTCACAACAACTTTATGAGAGAGAGGCCATCACCATTCCACGAAGACAGAACTGAGACCCCGAGGGACGGGCTCCACAGCCCAAGAAAGGCAGCAGGTGCCAGAGCAGGAATTAAAATCTAGTCTTTCTGATTCGGAGTCTCATTCTGTTTCTAAACTGCTCTAGTCTCAAAATATTTCCTACAAACAGAATTAATAATTTTAAAACTGTTCTATGTTGACTTTTTTTAAAAATTAAATTTATTGGGGTGACATTGGTTAACATAACCTATGTTGACTTTTCATATTGTTTCCAGCATTCTGAAGTTTATCCACTCCATGGCAACATGTTAATAAGTAGTTATATTTTAATTAATTAGTATTTAAGGTAATATTTCAGAATAGGAAAAGCGCTTGCATCAAACAAATTTATGATTCATTAAAACCACACTTTTTTTTGCATTTTGATTTGAAAATGTCCTTACCCAGGCAAACAAAGTGAACTATATGTGCAGTTTTATTTTTTTGAAATAAAACAAATACCCAACTCTCAAATAAGCATGGCATTGGCAGACCAGACTGTTATAACTAACAAATCTACAATGAGTGTTTCTCAACCAAGAGGGCGACAGACCCCAGGTTAGAGGCTGCAAAACATTCTAGAAAAGTTTCTTAAAACTCTCAGCATACTTTCATTCTGCCTCCAGGAAAAGGGTTGGAAAAGGGATGGGGCATATGAATCTGAAAAAGCATCTCAGGCAACTCTGATTACACACATGCTTTGGCCCCTTGGCTCCGTCCTCTCAGCGGGGGAGACCCACTGTCACAGATAACTGAGTAAAGAGTACATTTTCATTGCTATCCTCACTAAATCTCTTACTAGACCTATTAATAACGTAAGTTAAGGGAATGAAGAAAAATGCTTGGAGTAAACTGTAAGGTAAACATAAAGGACAGCAGTTAAATATACACTGCAGTCAAAAAAAAAAAAAGACAAAACAAAAAAATAAAATAAAATAAAGCAAACAAAAAAAGAAACTAAGGAAAAAGAAAAAATATATTACAAAGTGGTTTCTGGGAATTTTCAAAGGGGAGAAAAAGATAAATTCATTTTAAATTGAAATTCTTGAAATATAATAAGTTATCCCCAAAAAGGCAGGAGAGGAGAGATATCTAAATAAAACGTCTATCTAGCCCCAGCTGGGTGGCTCAGTTGGTTGAGTGTCATCCCATGCACTAAAAGGTGGCGAGTTTGATTCCTGGTCAGGGCACATACCTGCGTTGTGGTTCATTCCCCTTTTGGGGCATGTATAGGAGGCAACCAATCATGTCTCTCTCACATCGACGCGTCTCTCTCCAAAATAAATCTTTTAAAAAATGTCTACCTACACAGTAAACACTAGGGGACAGATACACCAAAGATGAAAGCAAGGCGACTGAGGAACGGAAGGGCACTACCTCACAGCAGCTCAAGAAAAGAGACAAGAGGCACAGGGACAAGAGGGGTGACCTTTGAAGCTGTGCTCAGAGCGAGGAGATAGCACTGAATGATCTGATGTAGGTAAAGATACACGAGAAGGTTCAAAACTAGAAACTAGTTTAAACTTCCATGTTGCTTTCACTTTCTTCCCGGAATCCAGAGCGAAGATAAAGAAAGGAAGATTTACCAAGAATTTACTTTGGGCCACAAGGAACCTTGGCGCTGCCCTCACACATCCTAATTCAACAAGAGAGAACTGAGACATACAAATTGGGCAACTGACTAGAACAGTGATGGCGAACCTTTTGAGCTCGGCATGTCAGCATTTTGAAAAACCCTAACTTAACTCTGGTGCTGTGTCACATATAGAAATTTTTTGATATTTGCAACCATAGTAAAACAAAGACTTATATTTTTGATATTTATTTTATATATTTAAATGCCACTTAACAAAGAAAAATCAACCA